TGGGAATTGGGGGGGGGGGGGGGTGTCCATATTACATTGCCACTGCTCCATTGACCCATAAGTAGGCCTGCAGGCCAGATGCAATGGCTCCCTGGGCCTCATTTGGCCCAAAGGCCAGAGGTTGAGCACCTGTGACCTAGACCCACAACTCCTGGCTCTGACTTATGCTTCTGAGGTGCAACCTTCCATGCAGCTGTAGTGCCACTTCGTAAACAAGTCAGCTTAAACACAGGGCCAGGGGGCTTGTTCCAAGGAGCAGAGCTATTTTACAGAACAGCGCCAGCTGCCAGGCTATAAACAAACTCACCCCCCAACACACACATCAGAGCTATGGTCTGCACAAACTGGCCTAAATTTGTGCCAACATTTTGTGATTAAACCCCACAGCATTAGTGGCAATTGAAAACCTCTCTAGAGAGTCTACCAAAGCTTTTTCCAAGTTTCAGAGACAGGACCAGGATTTGTGGGTGAACAGTGTGGAGGGGGTGTGGGGGGGCAAATATATTGGGGAAATCCTGGTGGACATGGCCCTGCTGGGTAGAATGCTAGCTAAATGACACATGCAGCATGGACAAGCAGGGTGTGATTGGTGTTTATATCCGTACTTATGGCAGTGATGAATTTATCAAAGTGGCTGAAAGGAAAGAGGGGCTCTGGCAGCTCGCGGAAGAAAAGCTTCAAGGCTCCTGTGATGACATGCACGTCCTCCCACCGGCCATCATCTAGGTCCAGATGCTCATCTGCAGGGAGATAATGGATACATGAGACCAGGGATTCTCAATTCTTTTGATCTCCCAGCCCAACTCCACTCCCTTGCACAGCCCCACTCCCCTGCACTCGCAAGACCCATCTTCCCTCTTTCTCCACCTGCCATCCCCCTACACAATTTTGTGCACAGCACAGGCAAGAGGAACCTGGCCCTGAGAGTACTGGACCAAGCCACTAACTCCTATGTCTACCACAGAATTCAGCTGAAGGAGATAGACAAGACAGATGTCTCATCTTTAAGGCTGCAAGTGACAGAGCCCATCCTTCCCTAGGCCCCTTATTCCAATGTTCGGTCACCCTCAGTGCTGACAGTTTGCACTTTGGTTCCAGTTTGGGGCTTTCTGGATTCAGTCTCCAGCCCCTGGATCATGTTTCACCTTTATCTGATACATTAAGGAGCCTTCAGCCATCAGCAACCTCCCCTGTGCTGGAGATCCATGGCCAGGTTTTCAAAGGGCCCAATGTGCCCAGCTACCTTTAACAGGTGTCTACACAGGAACTGGCCTTTGCAGGATGTGCTTAAGTTGCCTCTTAACTTTGGTTTTCATAGATGGAAGGAGCTCAGTGCATTTAGTCTCTCATGGATAGTTTTTTCCTGGACATGTCTTCTTTTTGGGTCTTCCAATCTCTGTCCAGGTGTTTTTTTAAAATATGAAAAAGTGTCCAGGATTTTGCTCTGCTTAGCATCAGTTTTGCCCTAGCAGGAGCTGCTTGGGGCTGGGGCAATTGGAGGCAGGGGGCACCATGTCTGTGTGCATGCACACACACATGCATGTGGCCAACATGCAGCCAGGCAGGGTACTGGGAGTAGCCCTGGCAGCTGGATGCAGGTAAGTCTACGAGGAATGGGGGTTGGAAGGCCAGGGCTTGGACAGTATCCAAGGGGGGGCTTATTAAGGCTGCATACACACATTCAAACAGAATCGGGGAGAATTCTCCCAGGTGTTCCCCTGGTAAAAGAAACCAAGCCACAGCTGCACATACAGACGTTTGTAAGCCAAGCCCCCTGAAGACTGGAGAGCTTACAGGTGTCGATACTGTGCAGCCAGGTTGGGGGACATCTCAGCATGCTTTACGGTCTTCCTTAGTCTGCCTGGCAACACCTCTCTGATTGGCTGACCCAGACTGCCCATGGTCAGGCCTATTTCCCTGTAGTGCAAAGTGGGGATTGGCGGGGAGGGGGGGTTTGCTCTGTTCTCTGCTGGATCAGCAGAGTCCAGCAAGGCATATAACATCTCCCTAGGAAGGAGGGGCAAATGCTGGGAGGACTATGTTCTCTTCCAAGACAAGACACAGCATGTACAGACATTCACTCTCCCAGGACAAACTTTCCTGGGAGTGATTTAACTCTCATTGTTCCCAGGTTATCTTTCTCCTGGAGCAGTCATTTTTACTGTGGGAGAAAGCCTGAGTATCTGTACATTCATGGTTTCTCTTGGGAGAGCAGCAACTCTCCCAGGAAAAAATGAATATCTATATAAGACCCAAGAGAGCTATGAAAAGGTAAAAAAGCCCAAAGAAACCAGTCCTACCATGATCCACTTTGTAGCGCAGTTTTTGTATTGTTGCCAGATTTCCACTTACTCGATACAGCCCATCAATGTCCAAGCCTATCAGACCAAAGAGAAAAACCACCATTTAGATCCATCGCTAACCAGGCAAAGGTTAATGAGGAGGAATGAATGTTGAGTTTCATACATAGAACAGACTGCTGGGGTATGCCTAATCTACAGCTAGGGTATAACTACAACAGGCTGGCATGCCCATAACTTAATTAGCATGGGTAATAACTGCAGTGACAGTTTAGGCTAGCCACCTGACTGAGTACCCCGGCAGACTTGTTCAGCTGTCACTGAAGCTCATCTTGCTGCATTTTCCCCAAAATTGCTACCTGAGCAAATTAGATCTAAAATTAGATCTAGTGCAGATAGATCTTCCAACTGCAGTGAAGACAGCCCCATTTGCCTGATCTGTTGGGCTCACATTGAGGGAGCGGTGCTTTGGAACACAGCAGAAAGGGTTTAAGACTCTGCATCACACACACACAGTAGAGGGGGCAATCAGAGGTGAAGGCAGATTGGGAAGGTTTAAAAAACTTGTGTATCACTTTCTTTTCTACTTCTAAAGAAACCTTTCCACAGAAGCATTTGATGATACAGCACACGGGCAGGAGCATGCTGTTCCAGTGATTAAAGCAATTGGCTACAAGGACACTTGGGAAGCGAACACCCTGATCTGCAGCCCCTCTGAGCTTTAGCCAGGGTTCACTAGGTCAGTCAGGTGGGGGTGCAGTGCCAGTGATGATGTAGATGGGCCCTTCCTCTCCATTACACAAGGCAGGGATTTCTTTTTGGCTCTCCCATCATTCCAGTCTGCAAACCTACCTCTGTTTTCCACCGTCTGGATGCATTGGTGCACGAATTTTGGCACCATGCTCCGTTCTCGCTCACACAGCACTTGCAGAGAGCAGCCAAACACCTGATCTGAAAAACAAACCACAAGACCCCAACCACATAGGTATGCAGCTGTAGACCAGAGGGTCAGCTGAGAATCCTGACCCTCAGCTGAGAGGAATGAGACAACCCTAAAGGAGCCAATCTAGGAGGAATAATCACCATAGATATCCACATACCTACAAGAGGCCACCCTAGCTCAGAGAGGCAAGCTCAGCCCAAGACACTGCTTGTGCAAGCAGCGTTAGCAATGCCCATCACTTATCCATATATTCCTGCTACTTAAGGCCACTATAGTAGCATCTCAGAGCCCCAACCTTGGGCGAGGGCCCCACTGTGCCAGATGCTGTACAAACAGAATTCACAGACAATTCTGGCTTCCTGAGTCTAATGGCTTAGCTATGAGCAGCAAGCTGGAGGGCAAGTGGTCTTAGTCACAGTGGGCGTTAAGCTGGGGGCTCAGGGAATAGTTAGAATTAGCATAGTTTCTCAGACTAAAGACACAGTCGGTTCATACAGTATAAGGGCAAATGGGACAGTTCTGATCAGAGGGGAGTTGGAGACTTGCCTAAGAGTTGCCTGGGTTCAAGTCTCTGTTCTGCCACCGATTCCCTGTAGGACCCTGGCCAAAGCATTTAGCCTCTTTGGACAGACAGGGAACGTGCAGTACCTGAAGTCTGCTTTACACGAGCATACAAGTGTAAATACATTTCAGGGACTGAAAGGTGCTCAGGTCCTACAGCAGTGGGAACCGAAGTGGCACATATAGATCACGGGGCTGGATCTTGCCTCTGCACTGGCCACAACTTCTGGGTAAAATGAAGCGTCTATCATCCTGCAGGGGTGAAGGATGGGCTACAACATGTGCACACCCCATCACCCCACTATGTGCACTGTGAGTGTGCCTGATTGACCCACCCTCTGCACCTACAGCTTAGCTCCATGATGTAGTTTCACAGCTAACAGCATTTGAACAAGAGCCCGAGACTCAGGGATATTTCTTCCTGTACCCAACAGGGTGGTGGAGTCAGCCATATCCTCCCACCCCTTGAAAGGTAGTGGTGGTGTCCCCCATCAGGTACTCACATTGGATGCCAGGGGAGCTGAATGTCTAGCCTTCCTGGGCACAGGCAATCGTTTAGACTTTCCCCGTTTCCCCCAGATGGTTGTGCTAGAATCCCCATAGCTCCTGGAATAAGGGCTGTTTCCTCTCCAACAAGACATCCCCCTTCCCTGTCCCCCAGTGTGGGCAGTCTGGCCTATACCTTTGATGTATCCTCGCTCCCGCAGGGACTGCAGGGTTGGCCGTCGCTGAAGGAACTTGAGCAGCTTGTTCCGAACCTTGTTGGAGTCACTCTCAGAGCTCGTGGTGGCAGCTGACAGCCCAGAGCCTGCAGGAGACAAGGCAGAGCTAGTCAGAGGGAAACCTCCAGCAAAGCCCCCACACTGAAGAAGGACAGCAGGGGGTATCTGGGCTCAGCCCTGGACTGGGACACACAGGAGGCAGCACCCCTCAAACAGGGGGGGAGTAAGGATGCCCTGAACCAGCTCTCCCCAACTTGCTGGCTTAAATGGAGCATCTTTCCCACAAGTGCATCTCTCCAACTTGCCAGCCAGGGTGATACGGACTGGAGCAACAGGGAGAGCTGAGGGTTAGAGGCACAGCAACAGCTGACAGGAAGAAGAGAGATCTCCCAAGTCCTCCCCCTCTACTGGAGGAGGATGGATCCCACCTGCCTGCTTTCCTCCCCACCAAGGGCAGTGGTAGGTTACCAGCACTCTGGCACATCCCATCCACACCTACCTACCAATTTGGCAGACCCTCCTTTTTGGGATCTGTAGGATACACATCACTTTCCGCAGTCCCACTGCTGCTAGAAGCCTGATACCATGGAACACCATGCTCCAGCTTCTCTGTCAAAGCAGGAGACAGTCCCTGCCTCATGTACCCATAAACAGTTGGCACATCTAGTGCTGCTGCCCCATCATCCTCCCCAGCAATGGAAGACAGCTTTGCAAACAAGTCATATATATAGCTTGCTGAGCCAGGTGAAACCACCTGCCTTTGCATCCCCGTCTTGCCCCCTTACCAGGAAGGCTTGTTAAATGGAGTGCAGCAACTGTTATGGAGCTGCTGCTGCCCACTCTGGGAGTATAACTGGGCTCTAAATGAGCCACATGAGCCTGTTGGAGAAATCCTCTGCTCTATGCTGTTCTCTACAAAGTCTGGGCACACCAAGGCAAGGCCAAGACGGAGGAGAGTCATAAACCTTGGAGCTGCTATGGAGACTGAGTTACAGGGTGGCTCTGGGGAGGCTGCCAGAAGATAAATGGCTGCTTGTGCTGGTTAGAGCAGCCTCTGAGTGCCCACAGCCTTGACTCAACATATGAACAGTTACCTTCACCACCCACTCCTGTGACCTCTGTGCTGCCTCCCAGGACACAGCTTGGCATATGGCCCTACAATTCCACTGCTTAGCCTGAAGAACCTACACGGCAGGCCCCAGGGCTCAGCTGCATGTTCCCAAAGGGCATCAGATCATTAGCTCAGTACGATGCGTCTACAGCCAGTAAGCCTGAACCAGAATGATGGGTGTGGATGCATACAGTGCTGGGACCTTAGCCTGAGCAGCGATACAGTGTGGCACCTGGCAAGTTACTGCCTTCATGTCTCAGTTACTAACCTGGAGTCCTCTTCTCTTCATTACTTCCTAATCTTTCTTTGGCTGCATAGTCTGCTGCAATTTCATCAGCATCCTCCAGAGAAAAGTCTGTGGACTAACACAGGCACAACATGAGATTTATTTTCCAAACCCCTCCTAAGTACCCAGTATGGCTCAATTGCATTTAAGACCAGGCAGGGAGCACTATGCTCTCACCAAGCGCCTGAAACGCACATCAGTGCTACACTGGAGAAAGACCACAGGTAAGTTGGAAATTCTCACCCCTGACACCCGAACATGTTGGGTGCTAGTCCATTTAGAAATAGTCATTGGGCCTGTAAAGCCTTTGGTGGCAGGAACCATCTTGCTGTGTGTTAGTGCACTGCCTAGCATAACAGAGCCCCTGTCCTGGACCAGGACTCCAAGGCATGACTGCCAATAGATGACAATAGGGTTATACTTGAAACTTTGTCCCAAGCTCAAACTCTGTGGTGGCGAGCAAGGGGCGTCCAGTACTTCTGGGAACTCCTGAGGAAGGCTGGCTAGGATGGTTTAGTCAGAGTCAAGGACAATCCTGCCTTTGCCAAGGGGGATGAACTAGATTACCTCCTGAGGTCCTTCCAACCCAACCTTTCCTGGGAACCTGAGGTCATCTGAAGGGAGCTGCTAGTAGCTCAAGTATCTTGAAATCTCACTTGAAAGACTGACCTCATTAAATGTGTCTGAAGATGCCACACTGTAAACATAGCTTTGTCCAAGGAGCTGGGTTGGGGAGAGGGAGGGCTGGGTGAGCAGGGGTGCAAAGCAGAAGAAGGGATGGGGAAGGAAACAAGAATAGGAGCTACAATGGAAAAAGACTACTGCCCTGTTGAGGATGCTGGCATGGTGCGCAAACCACATTAGAGAGATTCAGATGGGTCTAGGGCCCCCTCTCAATTACAACAAGAGCTCTGCAAAGTTTTTCTGAACAAAATGGCCTGGCCCCTGTGCGAGTGTGAGACGCTCCTGCTGCTAACTTGGTGGAGCGATCCCACGCTCAGTGCCCAGAGATGGCTTGCCCTAAGGGATCAGCATGTATACTGAAGCCAAGCAAAGCGCATCCTCACCAGCTGGCTGATGGTCTCAGAGATTGCCTTCTGCCACGGGGCAATGATGGCCTCAGAATCATGCTGGATCAAGAACTCTGAGCCGTCTCGTGTCTTCAGCTAAAAGGAGAAGCATCAACATCGTCAGGATTAGAGATACTGTGTAGTCAGTGGCACATACTCCCAAACAGGGAGGAAAAGGGGGAAGTTTGCCCCAAGAAACTGGGCAGTCTGGTTTGGCAACAGCCCTGCTGTCGGTCACAGGGGGAAGAGCAGCTTCTCCCTTATACAGCTAGGGGTAGCCTGACCACATGGTCAGGAACCAACAGGCTGCCCTGGCCTGGGTGCATGCAACAGAGCTGCTCTGCAAGTGCCATCCCAAGCAGGATGGGACAACACTTACAGAAGCAGGATGTCCCAATTTCCGTGTCAGGTCACAACCCAACTTTATGCCTTTTGCATGCCCAGATTCCTGCTAACTTTGCTGGGCACACAGTGGATGCAGGAGATAGCCCAAAGGCCCAGCAGGCATCTTGGGAAGTCACAGCTCCAGAGGCACTTCTAGCTGAGACCGTAGGCTGAGAACAACTCCCAGCTTCGAGGATGGCAGCCTTGCTTCAGCCTCCCCCTAACCCAGGCTCTGCTTCCACACTGAAGCCCTCCTGGCTCCTCCCTTCATGTAGCTGCCTCTTCAGAGGCATACCTGGTGCTGTCCCTCCCACCTCTGCCCACAGTCAGTTGAGGTAGTGGTAGCGGAAGTCACCACCTTGGGCATCCTAATTATTTTGGTCTCCTTGTTCACGTCTGGTCTCACTTGCCTCCTTTAGACTGCGAAGTTGGAGAGGCAGGGCTTGCTGCTGGATAATCCTACACTGGTCAGCACCATCAGGGTCTTATCTCAGCCATCTTGGTGCTAATAATACTAGATAATAAACCACAGCGGTATCCTTGGTTTGCTAGAGGCTTGAGGTTAAACATCCATCTGCAGTTTGGTCCCACAGCCACTCAGCGTCCAGTCACACCAGCAGAAGACCCTACGTTTACTAAAATGACCGAGATGTTCTGCTCAAGAGAGAGTCTTTGGGGAGACGCACACACATAGGACATGTCCTCCTACAGCAGTGGAGGAGCTGCCATTTTTTAACTTCTCTTCCCATGAAGTCCAGGTGCCCCTCAATAACAGCACATAGCCTCGGGACACTTAACACTCACTTCTAAGGCTAAGCCTACACTATAGGGCTGCTGCTACTCAAACTGTGATGCTCTCTTTGTAGATGCATCCCTGTCAGCAGGAGCTTCTCTGCCATCAGAGCTATGCCAGCTTCCTCAGGTGGCAGCTGTGATGGTGTCTGCACTGGGGGTTTTGCAGCAGAAGTACACTGGGTATGGAGTGAGAGCTCTCCACGCCCACCCCTCTGCCAGCAGAATTCTGTATTGTAGACAGGACCTAATTTAAAAAGGAAGAAGGGTGACTGAAGAGCAGCCAGTTTGGGTGTCTCCAATGGAAGAGTGCCTGGTCTGTAAGCCTTTTTTTATAATGCTTAACTATATGTGTCAGTTCCTCCCTGCCCTCTCCCCCTGCAATATGGCTATACTGGTATACCCCTCATGTGAATACAGGTATCGGAGAATAAATTTGCCTTCTATTGGTATGGCTATTCCCAGACAGGGTGGGGAAGCAGTATACACTAACTGAACCTCTTCCACACAGTAGTGGGGCAGTGGGGGAGGTCATCAAGCTGCTACCCCAGTGCAATTAAAATGGTATAATCTGGTATAGACAAAGCCCAGTCACAGGTCTCCTTTGCATTTCACATTGTGAAATATTTTACACCAAGGCAAAGCGAGGGACAGTCCTCATTTCACGGCCGCAGGGAGCGCGATTGAAAGGTTTTGTAGAGTCAAGTACACTATTACAGTTTCTCACCACTAGGTGTCAGTGGAGCAATTAAATAGCCTCTTTGCATTGAGCAAATGTCTATCCCAGGATAATTGTGAGTACATGGCCCTTACTCCATTTGTAATTTCACCCCAATTTTTCTCGTGGTCATTCTTTAGTGATATAGAAAAAATACAGAGGTACGAGGACTGGAAAATGTTCACTACAGGTGGAAAGGGCCATAGAGCCACAGGAGAGCAACAAGGGATGGAAAAGGAAAACCATTAGGTCAGAATGCAAAAATAAGTCCCTTGCCTGTATACAAATGAGAGGTATGGGGAACAACCAAGATGAGCTGAAAGCCATAGCCTATGAAAAGTCCTATGATCTGATTGCTATCAGAAAGACCTGGTGGGACAGCTATTTCAACTGCAACATAAAGGTTGAAGGATATACTGTTTTGGAAGGACAGGAATGGGGGGAAAAAAAAGAGGTGGTGGTGTCAAAAATATATACACTTGTTTTCTGGTTCAGGAGGAAGGGGGTAAAAGATCATAATGTATTTGGGTGAAGATGAAAGATACAGCACCAATATAACGGTATGGATTTATTGCCAAGTCGGGCAGAAGAAATGGATGATGCACTTTAAGATGATGATAAAATTATCCAGAAAAGTTATGAGAGAGTACTGATGAGAGCCCTTGATTTTCTGGATAGCTGGTGGAAGAATAATACAGCCAAACATAACATGTCAAGCAAGTTTTTAACTTTTGTGGAAGACAACTTTGTTCCAGAATGCTGAGGACGCAACTAGAGGACAATCTATTTTGGATCTTGTCCTGACCAACAGGGAAGAACTGGTGAAGGATGTGAAGGTGACAGGAAACTTGGGGGGCAGCAGTCACAACCTGAGAATTCATGATTCTGAGATGTGGAAAGTATAAAGTCCGCAGAGCACACTGGATTTCAAATCAGGCAGATTTCAATCAGCTCAAGGAAACAGTAAGCAAGGTGCCATGGGAGGACAGACTAATGGATAAAAGGGGCCCAGGAGGGCTGGGAACTTTTTAAAAGGCACAATATTAGAAGCTGTTCTGATACAAAGGAAGCACAAGACAAACAAGAGACCAATGTAGCTGTACAAGGAGCTTCTAGGGTGTGTCTCATATACAAAAGGAAAGCATACAGGCAATGAAAAGATGGGCAGGTCACCAGAGAAGCACACCAAGAAACAATAAGAACTTGCAGAGACAAAAACCAGGAAGACAAAAGTTTAAAGCCAGAATTGGCACAGTATTCAAGGTGTGAACACACAATGGATTTATAAAAGGGGTATAATGATGCTGTCAGATTTGTTTACCATTTCCTTAAAAATTCCTAACATTTCTTGGTACTAGAGAACTGGAGAGTTGCTAATGTGACTCCCATATTTAAAGAATGCCCTAGAAGGGAATCAGGAAAACTGCTGGAAACAATAATAAAAGTAAGAATTGTTCAACACATGGGTGAACGTGACTTGCTGGGGAGGACTCAACATGGCTTTGACAAAGTAAAGTATGTCTCACCAACCTACTAGAAGTTCTTTGAGGGTGTCAATAAGCAAGTAGATGGGATGATCCAGTTGACAGTATATCTGGACTTCCAAAAAACCTTTGACAAGTTCCCCCATCAGAAGCTCTTAAAGTTAAGTAGTCATGGGATTACAGGGAACATTTGCTCATGGATTAGTAATTGGTTTAGAGATAGAAAGCAAAAAGCAAGTATAAGTGGGAAGTTTTCAGGATGGAAAGAAGTAAACAGCAGGGTCCCCAAGGATCTGTGTTGGGACCAGTGCTGTTTAACATACAAGTGATCTGGACAAAGGGATGAGTAGTGAGGTGGCCAAATTTACAAATGACACAAAATTATTCAAAGTAGTAAAGACCAAGGTGAACTGTAAGGAAAAACAGAAGGATCTGGCACTACTGAGTTAATGGGCAACTCAATGACAGATGAAAGTCAAATTAGATAAGTGTTAAGTGATGCACATGGGCAAAAATAATCCAAACTATAACTACAGTATGATAGGCTCTGCATGACCTCTTACCACAGATGAGAAATATGGGAATTGTTGTGAACTGCTCACTATAAACACCAGAGTGCTCAGCAGCCATCAAGAAGGCAAAAAAAAGAAAAGGGAATTCCCTTATTAAGAAGGGAATTGTAAACAAAACTGAAAGCATCATTATGCTCCTTTATAAATCCATAGTGCGTCTACACCTTGAATACTGTGCTTTAGTTCTGGTCCCTACACCTCAAAAAAAGAAGGGCAGCAAGGATGATTAGTGGTATGGAGGGGCTTTCATACGAGGAGAGACTAAAGAGGCTAGGCCTGTTAAGTTTAGAAGAGAGACACTTGAGGGGGTACATGATAAGGGTGTACAAAATACTAAGTGGTGAAGTAGATAGGGATTTATTATTTGGCATCTCTCAAGATACAAGGACTAGGGGTCACAAAATAAAAGCAGTAGGAAGTAAGTTTAAAACTAACAAAAGGAAGTTTTTCATGCAGTGTATAATTAAAGTGTAGAACTCATTGCCACCACATGTTATGGACAGCAGGGCAAGAACAACAAGAGGTTTAAGTATCTTGACCAGAAAAGAAAGACCAAGGAAGCTGTGGGGCCACTGTTAAATAGCCAAGGCAAACTCCTAAGAGAAGCAGCAAAGGAGGAAGAGCTGCTCACCAGCCACTTTACCTCAGTCTTCACAAAAGAAAAATTAAGCTGCACCCAGACAGCTAATAAGGATTATCTTGAAGAGGAAGAGCCAGGGAACTATATATCAGCTAGTCTCACCTCAGTATATGGGAAGCTATTTGTTACTCAAGCATATCATAAGGAAGTCCATGTCTGAGCATATCAGAAGGAAAAGCTGATCATGAGCAGCTAGCATGGATTTACTATGAACAAACTGTCCCAAACAAACTTGAACTCCTTTTTTCAACAAGATAACTAGTTGGGTGGATGAAGTGAATGCAGTGGATATAGTGTATCCGGACTTCAGCAAGGCTTTTGACAAAGTCCTACATGACCTTATCAAATAACTTGAAGATGTGGGCTAGAATTATACAACTACTACAAGGCAGATAGACAACTCGCTCAATAGCTGCAAGTAAATGATAATTATAAATGGATCCACGTGAAAACAGAATTTGTTTCTGGCTGGATTCCCACTGGGGTCTGTCTGTCCTAGGCCAAAT